CAGGACAGTGCTATCGAAACATACAGTAAAGTTGTTTACACATGTGTTAACTTAAATGTCCATGTGATTTCATTTCGATAAAAAAAGGCTGCGTAATGATTTCAGTGGTAAAGATGACTGCATTTTTATAAAGATGTTACGAGTTTGAGCCCCACTGCAGCCACTGTCATATTTCCTCGAGTAAAATCAGCACTGATTAATTCAAGCACAGCTTTCACCTGCAATGAAAGGCATAGTTACTCGGGGGGATTCAAGCTTTCATGATAATTCCGTAAAATTAAATATGTTATACCTTATAGTTATTAATTTCACTAGTCTGGAACTCCAAGCATTATCATTTCAGACTTCATAAGAAGGAACGTTAGTGTAATTGTAAATCAGTTTAAATGCAATTCCGTAAGTTGATTTAAATGTGAAGCTCTGTATTTAGCTAGCTATCTTCCTTATAAAAGTATGAGTTGTGAAAGACAGTTAAAATTCAAATCCCGATTCGAGCCTAAAAGTAATTCTTTCTTTTTCTCTTGCATGAACAACAGGTTTCCTGTTTTAAATAAGAACAACGATTTTGCAAACCTGAACTTAGTAGAATTTGATAAGTTTTCATTTTCATCTTTTTTAAAGTTTAACAATATCGAATACCCTTTCTTTGCACATCAGTAAAATTGATCTTCTAATGAAAAAAGCACTAAAAGATTTTCAAACCAGGACCGGGATACGAACTCGGGACCTCTTACATCCTAAGGTAGCATACCACGAGCCAGTTAGCAAAGTCAGAAGCAAACCGAATGTTTCCATTATTAAAGGGAATTAACTGACTATCAAACTATGTAAGTAAGATTACTCTCCCTCTTTTTGAAATGAATTTCTGTTTCTTATAAGGCCCGATAAAAAAGTCGGTTTGCTTATTGTGCGCCTATCAACATTGATATAGTTTTCTGAAAATGAAACTAGTTTTTGACTCTTTGCAAGTATATTATAATTAGGATTATGTCACACAAAGTATTTCTTGGACATATAGATGAGTATTCATTCCTTGATCAGGTCATGAAAGCAAATTGGCCAATAATTGATTTTGTAACGAAGTTAAAAATATACAGCTTATTTTATTGCTTCAGAGGTCAGTTTTAAGTAAATTAATACCGACAGTAAAAATATATGCGTGAAAATATGTCATTTATAAATTTCCTGAGCTCAAAAGTGTTTGCACATTGATTAGGGGACAGGAAACAAATGCGTTTTATTAAACCGGCCTAGTGAGAAAAAAATCTTTTTTAAAATCAAGGGAAATTAATCTTATTTTATTAAGTGAAGAATCAGTTATCTCCCTTATATATCGACATTGAACGTGGCCTTTGTAGACGTATTGCAGCCAGTGCATCCGTGTAATCTGAACAGCCGCTATATTATTGGTACTTTATATTTGATATCCATATGTTTTAATGAGAATAGTTCCAAAGTAAAGAGAGGGCAAAATCCATTACACAAATTTAGCACGTGAACATTGAGTTTCTTTTTACTCTCTGAGATCTTTATATATTACTTTGCATTGGATTTATCAAAATGATGTCTCCGGGAGTAACACTGTGTCATTTGCAGATAGTGGTTATAAAATGTTACCATATTCTATCATTTCATAGTGGCTGTAAAAGAAATTATTATTACTTGTATCAGATTTCAATAGGGGAAATATTTCATTTTGTTGGCAGGACAGTGCTATCGAAACATACAGTAAAGTTGTTTACACATGTGTTAACTTAAATGTCCATGTGATTTCATTTCGATAAAAAAAGGCTGCGTAATGATTTCAGTGGTAAAGATGACTGCATTTTTATAAAGATGTTACGAGTTTGAGCCCCACTGCAGCCACTGTCATATTTCCTCGAGTAAAATCAGCACTGATTAGTTCAAGCACAGCTTTCACCTGCAATGAAAGGCGTAGTTATTCGGGAGGGATTCAAGCCGACTAACTTTTGTGTTATAACTGTTTGATACATAGAGGATATTCAGGTTTTTTCTATCAACTATCATTTCATCGAGTGGTATGAAAATAAATATTTCACGAGTGGCACGTTAGTATAATTGTAAATCAGTTTGAATGCAATTCCGTGAGTTGCTTTAAATGTGAAGCTCTGTATTTAGCTAGCTATCTTCCTTATAAAAGTATTAGTTGTGAAAGACAGTTAAAATTCAAAGCGCGATTCGAGCTTAAAAGTAATACTTTCTTTTTCTCTTGCATGAACAATAGGTTTCCTGTTTTAAATAAGAACAACGATTTTGCAAACCTGAACTTAGTAGAATTTGATAAGTTTTCATTTTCATCTTTTTTAAAGTTTAACAATATCGAATACCTTTTCTTTGCACATCAGTAAAATTGATCTTCTAATGAAAAAAAGAACTAACAGATTTTCAAACCAGGACCGGGATACGAACTCGGGACCTCTTACATCCTAAGGTAGCATACCACGAGCCAGTTATCAGAAAAGTCAGAAGCAAATCGAATGTTTCCATTATTAAAGGGAATTAACTGACTATCAAACTATGTAGTAAGATTACTCTCCCTCTTTTTGAAATGAATTTCTGTTTCTTATAAGGCCCGATAAAAAAGTCGGTTTGCTTATTGTGCGCCTATCAACATTGATACAGTTTTCTGAACATGAAACATGTTTTTGACTCTCTGCAAGTATATTGTGATTAGGATTATATAACACAAAGTATTTCCTGGACAAATAGATCAGTATTCAGTCCTTGATCAAGTCATGAAAGCAAATTGGCCAATAATAGATTTTGTAACGAAATTAAGCATATACAGCTTATTTTATTGCTTCAGAGGTCAGACTTTAGTAAATTAATACAGACATTAAAAATATATACGTGAAAAATGTCATTTAGAATTTTCCCGGGCCCACAAGTGTTTGCACATTGATTAGGAGACAGGAAACAAATGCGTTTTATTAATCCGGCCTAGTGAGAAAAAAAATCTTTTTAAAATCAAGGGAAATTAATCTTATTTTATTTAGTGAGAATTAGTTATCTCCCTTATGTAAGACATTGAACATAGCCCTTGTCACCGGCATGGTCTAGAGTAGCCTGGGTTACCTGCCCTTACCATTTCATTATGCAGAGTACGCTGGGAACCAGATTAGGTCTAGAGTACTACAAAAAAAAATGCAATAGGGGCACGAAAGAAATTATTTTGGAGTATATAATAAAGGGATTGTGAAGGGGACAAAAAAAGGACTTGCATGGGGGCAATGACGAGATTGCAGTGAAGACAATGAGAATATTGAACTGGGGCAATAAATAAATTACAATTGTGGAAATGAACAGAAGTAAAGGAATTACAGTTGAGGCAAGCAATGTTAAGATTGCAATGGGGACAACGAAGAGCTTGAAGTACAGTAAAAATGCATTGGAGGTGTTGAAGAGATTGTATTGGGATATTAAAGACTTTGCAATGGGGCAATAAAGATATTGGTGGAAATAAAGAGCTTGCAATGGGGAAAATTAGAATATTGCGACGGGGATAATGAACAGATTGCAATTTGTTTATTGAACAGATTGCCCAGGGGGTTATAGAGATTGCAATTGATGTAGTTGGTTATTTGAACAGATTGTAAAGAGGTTATAAAGAGAATGCAATGGGGCTATAGAAGAAATTGCATTGGGGCAATGAAAAATTACAATTGGGCAATAAAGAGGTGATAAGGAATTGAGGATATAACATTCCATTGTCTGAACTAGGCATGGTCGGCACTGACTATCAATATCCTTGCTCATATTTCGTTTGTTTGGTAGGACAGTGCTATCAAAACATACGGTCGAGAAGTTGTTTGTACCTTCATCCAAACTATTAAATCATATACATGTACTGACACGTCCATGTCATTTCACTTTGTTGAGAAAAGGCTGCCTAGTGATTTCAGTGGTAAAGATTTTACGAGTTTGAGCCTCACTGAAGCCACTGTCATATTTCCTCGAGTAAAATTAACAATGGTAACTTGCAGCACAGCTTAGAATTGCAATGAAAGCCTGGTTCCAGAAAGGGCACATTCGGGAGTACGTAATTATGATTCAAGGTTTCATGATAATCAAGTAAAATCAAATATGTTATACCTCAATATTAATAATAGTAATAATTATTTCTGCTAGTCATTAATTGTTTTAGACTTAATAAAACAGCAGTGCCACTATACGAGTATATCGGTATAAATGCAATTCTTCACCTTGAATTAAATGTATAGCTATATTCCTAAGCTATCTCTCTTACGAACTTAACTAGTTGTGCAAGACAGCTAAGACTTCCGAGCCCAACTCGAGCCTTAAAGTTATACCAGGATTTTTTCTTTTGCATGAACAACTGGCAGAAGAACCATTTTGCAAACCTGAACTTGGAAGAATATGGTAAAATATGCAGCCTCCTTTGAATTCTTTATCTCAACATTAGCGGCAGTCTGTGCAGATTCAAGGCTATGAATCAATATAGCATTTAAAGGGGTTTATATCATTTTCTCTTAAGTTATTATATTTACTTCGATGAGAACGACTGCTTAATGAGTTTAGTGGTTAACAGTTCTGCCTCTTACTGTGGGTTTGAGCCCAACAGGAGCCACATCTATATTTCTGTAGCACAATGCCCGATTAGGTCCAGCACGGCTTTAGCTGCAGTTTTGGAGTGCTTCAAATACATTCTAAGCACATCAAGACATTTGTTATGGTTAGAAAGAGTTTTGTGTGTGTGGTGGTGGGGTTACGTCGCACAAAAACAGTATAGGTCATATGTCGACTTTCCAGCTTTCATGGTGGAGGTAGACCTCAGGTGCCCTTCTGTACTTAATTTCAGGCACAAACGGGCACCCAAGTAGAACCACCGACGTTCAGTAAGCTAGCTGGATAGCTTACACACATGCAAAATCCGGCGACGATTTCCTTCCATACGAAGGTCATGTATTGCACCAATATAGACAAAACTTTGTTGGAATTGATAATAAAACAAATATTAATCATATTTTATTGAATGATTTATTACATATATAAGAAACAATGAATCTATTATATATATATAAAATAAACAACTATCACAGGAATTTCAACAGATCATCATTTTTTCTGTAACAGATAAATAATAAGTATCTAAATTCACAGACTTTGCATAAATTCTATCATTTCTAGACATAAACAATGACTACTCGAACCTGACACGGAACACCGACAGAGATATTTTCAAGGTTACACATGCAGCACTGGAAACAAATATATCCACAGATTACTCACAGAAAAGTGTACATAGAGTACTGATACAAATAATGCACAATGTGCATCCAGACAATAATGTACACTATGACCTGAGACAATAATGTACACAGACAAAAGTGTACACATCATCAATCAGACATGTAATGAACATTGCTATGAGTCAATAATGTATACAGAAAACTGGGACAAAAAGTGTACACAAAGCACTGAGACAAATTATGTACATTGTGCTCTAACAAAAACATATACACTATGATCTGTTAAATAAATGTACACTATGATTTTTGATCTGAGACAACAATGTACATTTTGATCTGAGCTAACAATGTACATTTTGATCTGAGCCAACAATGTACACTTTAATCTGAGACAACAATGTACACTTCCATCACAGAATAAATGTACACTATAATCTGAGCCAACAATGTACACTATAATCTGAGCCAACAATGTACACTTCCATCAGAGAATAAATGTACACTATAATCTGAGCCAACAATGTACACTTAGTTCAGAAACAACAATGTACACATAAAACTGGGAGTGTTCACTGAGCAAAGAAATAAATAATGTACACTTATCAGACACAATAATGTACACATTATTTTTGCATATAAACAGTTATTTTTCTTGACAGTTCTTCTTTTATTACAACAGATAGCATTGTATCAAAAATGTGGAGAAATTATCTGTGTAAAGGGTAATTTATGAATAAAATCTTCGCCTCATAAATAAAGCAACAAGACCCTATACAAAATTCTGAAACTTACTGGTATTTTTTGGGTTGTTTTTTTTTGACAATATCATTGCTTCATAACACTAAAATGAAATACAAGAAATAAATAGATATCTATAACTGATAAAATAGACAGAAATTATCTCCTCATGAAACATAACAAAAGAGACTGTAGTTATCCAGTATCTTCTTATTCCATCAAAAGCATGCATGATAATTTTCTAAATCTAAGTTTTACTTATGTTTTGATAGAGAATAAAATTCTGCTGTTACAGTAAATATCCTTAGACAGATATATCGGTTCATGCTTTTAAACACATCAAGTCATTGTGTAAATATACCATTTAATACATAGAACAATGTAAGTATCTCATGGTTAAAAGCTGTAAGACATCTTAATACAACTATACTTTTGTTATATAGATACCAGTTGACATTTTGTCCTAACTAGATATACAAGTACTTTAAACTTTATTTCAATTACAAAAATTATTTTCTCATGGTTTAAGAAAAGATACAGCTTAAGAAAAGAAATATTCTCTCATGGTTAAGCACAAAGTTAAGACATACACCAAGGATGGAAATATTTCTATAGTGTTAAACACATGAAACTTTATTATCCCTGGTAATGTCTTCAAAAGGTTGAACAAGACATTTGTTATGGGTTGAAATATCTCATGGTCTAACACATCAACATATTTTTCATGGACGGTCACAGTTTTATAAGAATTTGTTATGGACGGATATGTATTATGTTTTATGACATTAAAATACTTATTTATGAAGGAAATATGTTCTCATTGTATTAAGCTTTAAACCATTGCAACGAATGACATTAGTATGTCCTCATGGTTAAACATACTAAAACATTCAAAATAAAATGGTGTGTCTTCTCATGGTTTAACATGACACTGTCGATGAGATAGACACATCTCCTCATGGTGTAAAAATACATTGAACAATTAAGGACAGAAATATCTCCCCAATGGTTAAACTCATTGACACATTTGTTATGGATTGAGATTACCTCATGGTTAACATAAAACTCAATGGACAGAAGTATCACCTCATGGTTAACCTTGAACTCATTTGCACATTAGTTATGGACGGAAGTATCACCTCATGGTTAACCTTGAACTCATTAACACATTTGTTATGGATGAAAGTATCACCTCATGGTTAACTTAAAACTAATTTACAAATCTGATATGGACGAAAGTACCAGCCCATGGTTAATTTAAAACTAATTAACACATTTGTTAGGGACGGAAATATCTCCCCATGGTTAACTTAAATCTCATTAACTCATGGAAGCATCACCTCATGGATTATCACAGTAATACATGTATTTAATCAAAAAAAATAAAGCGGACATTTGTTGTAAGATAGAATAACACCACTTAAAGTATGGCAATATCAATTGTGCTAAAACTTCAAAATAGCAAATAATGCAATTATTAATTGTAGGTTGAGTTATCCTCTTACATTGCAAGAACAAATTATGCAGTATTTTATTGTAGCTAGACTTAACTCCTATAATTATGAGAACAAATTATGCAGTATTTTATTTCAGCTAGAGTTATCTCCCCAAAGGACATAGCAAATCATGCAGTAAAACTTGTAGCTGGAGATATCTCCTCACATAACAAATACAAATCCACTCTTTTATCAAAGTTAACAGAGTTATCTTCTAAAACTGAAAGCGTTTTTCAGTAATTTGTTGTAGCTAGTAGAGTTATCTCGCTATATAAAATTAAAAGAGCAGGTCATGTAGTTATTTATGGTAGCTAAAATAATTATATCTTCACGTTTAAAGAGCAATCCATGCAGTAATTAATTGTAGCTAGAGTTATCATATCATTGGTGTGAATTTTAATAAATCACTGCTTGTAAATGGAGTAAAATAAGCAGCAGTGTGTTTTGTTGCAGCAGAGTTATCTTCTCATGATGAAGGTAAAATTGAAGCTGTATGTGAGAGTTATCTCCTCATGTTGGTAGAAAGAGTTATCTTCTCATGATGATGGTAATATCAAAACAGTATAATAGAGTTATCTCCTCATGTTGTAGGAATAATTACGAGACTGTGACTGACTTTCCTGCAGCTTGATCAAACTTAACTGACCTGAAAAAAATTCACAATAACACATTAGTCGTCACCTAAATAAGTTGCAACTAAGTTGCAATAAATAATTCCTGATTTCAACAAGATTTACCTCCCTTGACAAAAGTGCTAGCTATTTTGGGTGTCATTATTCAATATATGTAACTGACAAAATACAAAATTAAACAAAGAAAACATAATGATGATTTAGGTTAATTGTCAATGTCTTTTACATATCAGTCTGAAGCAAAATATTATTAAAGCACTGATATTAATTTTTTATATATATATAGCTTAACCTATGAGGACTGTTTTGTGAGGTATTTTTTCATGTTTAAATGAATGCCTGTTTTAAACCTGATGAATATTAAAAACATTGTTCATGTTGGTAATACAAATTAGCTTACAATTTCATTAAAGCAATTTGTTTTAAAGCTGTCATTATATACAATTCAGCTTACATTTTTTACAGTTAATGCAAATATATATTTTTTATTTTTTTACATAGATAATGCAAAATATACAAGTTATGTTTTTACATAGTTAATGCAAAATATACAAGTTATGTTTTTACATAGTTAATGCAAATATACAATTTATATTTTGTTATAGCTAATGCACATATACAGTTTATGTCTTTACATACTTAATGCAAAATATCATATTTATATTTTTCACATAATTGAATCAAATATACAATTAATGTTTTTACATCAGTGCAAAAAATTTACAATTTTGATTTTTCATAGTTAATGGAAATTAAAAATACATAATTTTAGTTTTACATAGTTAAAGCAAATTTACAAGTTATGTTTTTACATAGTTAACGCAAAATATAAAATTAAGCTTGCATTTTAAACACTGTTAATGTCATATATATTTTTTTATTTCTTACATACAGCAGTATATAAATAAGCTAGCATTATAAAATCATGGTTGATACAGATATATAGTTCAGCAAACACTTTAATATTAAAACAATACATATAAAATTTAGCCATTTCTTACCCTTTTTCGAGTACCAAATGCAGATTGGACTAAAATGAAGAAATATCATTTTACCCTTTAATACTTGAAAAAAAAAATTTTTTTAAGTTGGGACATAATAATAACAGGACTAGCAACTAAAAACTACTGATACTGCGAATTCACGCCCTTAATCTATTGGGCATGAAATTTCGTGGTTTTGTCACAAAACAAGATTGCATTTGTGAAAAATGCTATGCCACCGCATTAATACAACACTAAATAATAGTGTAGGAACAGGCTTTTTTTGTTTCTATACAAGTAAAAATTGCCATAATGCATAGATCCCTGACCTATCTAATTCTTATTATCAGATAAGTGGTTAAATCTATTGTTATTCAAATAAAAGATCAGAGTAGGAATCTATCAATGCAGTTGTGTCTATTGAATTTGGTGGTGAAGGTCATATTTCACATGGCCCAAATTCCATGACTGTACATCAAAGGACAACACAGTAAGACACTTCGTCAAAATCTATGCCGGCTGATATCAAGGTTCACTTTACATTTTAATCTGTGCACATGGTTCAAATTTCATAGCTGCACATCAAAGGACAAGAAAGTAGGTCACATCATCAAAATCTAGGTCACCTGATATCAAAGTTCAATTTTACAACTAAAACTGTGCACATGGTCAAAATTTCATTGCTGTACATCAAAGAACAAGAAAGTAGGTCACTGTCCCCTTGGGAAAGGCAAAATTTTGACCCAAGGGTATAATTCAAAACTATCTAGATACAGGTCCACCAAACAACGTTTCTTGTCAAATATCTAAGCTGTAGCTTTCTCCAATTCAGAAAACATTTGTTTTAGTTGTGTACATAATGAAAATCAATGCCCCCGGGCAGGGCAAATTTTGACACCAGGGAAAAAGTTTGAAAAACTTTGGTAGAGGACCTATAGATGATATTATATAGCAAACATCAAAGCTCTATGCCTTGTTCCTTCAGACAAGAAGTTTTTAAAAAAATTTACTATACGTACATATAGTGAAAATCAATGACCCCGGGGCGGGGCCAATTTTGAAGTTTTTACTATATATACATATAAGGAAAACCTATGACCCAAGGGGCGGGGCTTATTTTAATACTAGAGGCAAAATTTGATCAACTTTGGTATCGTACCTATATATGATATCATATACCAAATATCAAACCTCTAAGCCTTGTACCTCCAGACAAGAAAGTAATTAAGTTTTTACTATATGTACATATAGTGATAATCAATGACCCCCGGGGCGGGGCCAATTTTGACAATCTGAACAATTTTGGTAGAGTACCTATAGATGATATCATATAACAAATGTCAAAGCTCTAAGCCTGGTACCTTCAGTCAAGAAGTATTTTTAGTTTCTACTATATGTATTAAGTGAAAATCAATGACCCCCGGGGCGGGGCCAATTTAACCCAAGTGTTATAATTTGAACAATCTTGCTAGAGGTTCACTTCACAATGTTTCATGCAAAATATCTAACCTCTAGCCTTTGTGAATTTAGAGAAGATGAGTTTTTAAGTTTTTACTATATACATATAAGAAAAACCTAGGACCCCCGGGTGGGGCTGATTTTGACACTAGAGGCAAAATTTGAACAACTTTGGTAGAGTACCTATATATAATAACACATACCAAATATCAAACCTCTAAGCCTGGTACCTTCAGACAAGAAGGTATTTTAAGTTTTTACTATATGTACATATAGTGAAAATCAATGACCCCCGGGGCGGGGCCGATTTGGACCCCAGGGCTATAATTTGAACAACATTGGTAGAGGTCTACCAGACAATGCCTTATGCAAAATTACTAAGCTCTAGGCCTTTTTGGTCTTTACAAGAAGATTTTTAAATTTATTCTTATAATTCCTTTTGGTTGCCATGGCAACCAGATTTCTGCATGGAATGAAATTCTTTGAACATCTTTAGAAGCCCTTTACCCAAGGATCAATCCTGCCAAGTTTGGTTGCAATTGGACTAGTGGTTTTTCACAAGAAGATTTTTTAAGTTCACTATATAATCTTTATAACACACACACAAACAAACACACACACAGGTGAATCGCTATATGCCACCGCGGCATAAAAAACAACAATTTCATGAGTTCTTAAATTCATGGACTGTTTATTTTTCCAAAAGGTAAAATGAAAATAATGCGATGCAAAATAATCTTACAGCAGACAATATGAAAATGTGTAGGAATTTTAAATCTGTGTAGTGAAAATTAGTGCCATACAAATTATCATAATGATTTTGCAATTAGCTGTCTTATATGTAACATTTTATATATCATTTCAAAACTGATACAAACTAAAATATTCATTTACTGCATTCTATAATATATCAAATAACATTGATGATTCATATATCATATAATATTAATGATTTATATATAACATAATATTGATGATTTATTTGTCATATGATATCGTTGTTTTATACATCATATAATTGATAATTCAATTATCAAACAACATTGATCTCTTATATATCATATAATTGATGATTCATATATCACATGATATTGAGGATTTACATATCATATAATATTGATGAATTATATATCAAACAACATTGGTATTTTATATATCATATAATATTGATGATTCATATATCATATAATATTGATGAATTATATATCATAATTATAATAGTGCTGATTTATATATCAAACAACATTGATGATTTATATATCATATAATATTGATGATTCATATATCATATAATATTGATGTTTGTTTGGTTTTGGTTTTAAGTCACATCTACACAGTATAGGTCATATCGCGACGTTCCAGCTTTACTGGTGGAGGAAGACCTCAGGTGCCCTTCCGTGCATTATTTCAGGCACGAAAGGGCACCCGAGTAGAACCACCGACGTTCCGTAAGCTAGCTGGATAGCTTCCTCACATGAAAGAATCCAAACTCCCCGTCGGGATTCGAACCCACAGCGGTGAGGGGCAAGTGGTTTGAAGTCAACGACCTTAACCACTCGGCCACGGATGCCCCATAATATTGATGATTTATATATCATATAATATTGATGAACTATATATCATATAATATAGATGATTTATATATCATATAATATTGATGAACTATATACCATATAATAATGATGAACTTTATATCATATAATAAGTGCTGATCAACATTGATATTTTATATATCATATAATATTGGTGATTTATATATCATATTATATTGATGATTCAAACAAATTTACCAAAACCATAAAAACCCATGGAAACTGTAATGCAATATAAATGTGAAGTTTTTAACCATATGTTTGCAAATAATTAATAAAATATTACCACTATACTTTTTCCTTACTAAATGTGCAAAATAAAAACCATGTTAACATGTTGTGCAGTTAACATTATGAGCTTTTTTACTTTTTAAAATAACTTTATATTTTACCACAACCATTAAATACTATTGAATGAGAACACAAAACATAATGATGTTTTTGTGGGTTTTTACCTTCAGAATCTATGAAATAAAAGCAAAGAATAAATTAAATACATTAAACAGGTAAAATAAAAACAGGTTAAATAAAATTCATCATCAATAAAATACATCCATAACTTAAAGTGGATGAGCACATTTTCTATTAATTTTTCAAAATCTAATATTCATAAAAACAATATAGAAATATAGTATTTGGTATTTTTTATAAAATATTGCTTGGGCAAAAAAATTGATAAAGTTTTAAGTGTTTTAGAATGAACATTTATGTGATCAACAATAATTTGTTCTAGAACAATTTATTATCTACTATATATAATCAACTATATATATGTCATATCAGATCATGTATCTCACATTTGCCAATGATTATTTCATTGTTTTTGTATGTTATGTCTAATACTAAATACTGTTAAGTAAACATAAATATTCATTGTATGACTTTCCATTATAGACCAAATTCACTTGAAGATTTCAACCACTATAAAACTTCTAATAACTTTTAACTTCAAAGTACTATCATATACATGTTACTTTAATTAAAACTCAGTTAATACAGCAAACAAAGCATATTAATACTATTAATAGGTGGAAATGTTCAAATCCAGTTCTTAAAAACGGACTTTTGCCACATTGTAGTAAATTCATCTATATATCATTCATTAATAACTTACCCATAACAGGGATGTACACAACAGGTATTTCTGCAGGTAAATCATATAATTAAAATGGAAAAGAAACGGTAACTTGCGAAAAGAAATTAAAGGGAGAATATATTGGGAACAAAAAAAGGATATGTGCAAAAATAGTGGGGAAGAAAAAGTGCATTTTTGATATATTCAAATATGAAACCTTGTAATTCATCCTCGTCAATCATTTGCCAAATAAATTCCTTCGGGTGACCTTTATCATCGAGGAACGGGGACGGCATACAACCTTTTTTAGCCACAAGCGGATGGTATTGGTCTATAGCAAAGTTATACGACAGAGCTGCGGAATATAAATGCAAGCATACATGCGTAAGTTATATAAAAAAACCCACTTCAAAACAAAATAGATACTGTAAAATCAGATATTTCTGTGAAACCAAAATTTTGCAAATATTAACAATTAGGAATAACTGGCAAGGTTGAATTTTCACAAATTTCTACTTCCAGTTCTGTTAACATTATTTAATAACTGTTAAGAAAAATTCAATTTTGTGAAAAATCATCAATTTGCAAATGCTAATTCCTTTAAAAAATTCCTGATTTTACAGTATGTTGATTACATATAATTATACCACTCAAACTTTGATAAGACTCACTGTTCTTTCATAATAAATTTTGTTTGCTTGCAAGTAAGCAACCAACTTGAATAAAAGCCCCTTACTGTTTTGATACCTTTGACTAGCTGGTGACATTTTGTTACCTATATTGGTTCAAAAGAAATCTTAATTTCCCACTTATCTTTCTAGTCATTTTTAAATCCTTCTCCAGTCAGGACACCTCTGGTGTGAACTGATAAATGATATATCTTTTATCATGTGTTAACTGTATGTATAATCATAACAAAGTTTCTGACTAAAATTGAGATTGACTCCTTATCAAATTTTGAGCAGTTTATAGCATAATATTATAGCCACACTTATTATACAAATATCAAATCTTACTAGCAAAACTGTGGTGATTTTATAATATCTTTGCAGTTTTATACATAATTTCAAACATTTAGGACAGAAGAGACCCTTAATCATACAAGGCCGGCATTATAAATTACTGATATTATCATGTGCCAGCAAATTTAACCAGTAGTGACCCACCCCAACCCCGAATCATTGGCAACTTAAATCATTTGAAACATTGGTGGACATAATGAAAGTTCAGCTAGAATTTAAAGCGTTGAAAAGAAGTTACCAAATAAAACCACAACAGTTTTGCAACTATTAAAATAACCTACAAGCATAGCCTAACAGACGGCAATCAATTCAGTTTAACAACCTGAGCTGGTTAAATTCTTGTACATAAGCTATAGTAACATAAACAAGGACAAAACATGGTTAATGTTACATATACAAAATACAAATATTAGTTGAGACCATCTTCGTCAAAACTGTTAAAATAGAACAGAAATTGATTGAAGTTGAAGTTTTTTATCACACAAAAATCAGTTTTTATGCTATCTTAATTTGCTTATTCTCCTGCCATTATTGTCTGTAGATTTTTTATATAATGTTCAAATGAATCTGATCAGGATGCTTGAGAAGTATTTAACTGTTGCTTAAAATTAATATTATGAAGAACCAACTTCCTCAATCCCCTCATCTGAAATATTTCAAACCGTAGGATCTTATCTGAACAGATTCTTCAAAGGAAAAGAATTAAATATTCTAAAAGTTTGGTTTTTGACTTTATAAACAGATGTAAAATTTGCACAACATTGCTAGTTTATTCCCCTGCAGGGACAGCTTCTCCCACCGTACCCACAGTTTCCTACCGCACAATCAAATATTTAATACCCAGGTAAACTATCGATATTGAATAGTTTCCTCATATTAAACCAGTTAACCACCTCAATTTTACAAATTAACTTGATCAGCTTTTATATTTGGAACATTTCATTATCAATTTTGGGGACATCAAGATTTTGGGGATATCAACAGTATACATGTCACAGTTACAGCCTGGTGAGACTGAACATACCAGGGTTTAACCAGATGCAGTATCCTGCATCAATATACCCCTAAAAAACCTACTTGGATGCACAATTCTCAAGCTCTTGCCCTGAAAATTGATAGTGAAGTAAACCCCTGACAGACATGCAAGTTTTGGCTCTTTACTGGTTTGAGAAGCTGATCATTTCAGTCCCAGCAAATAAAGTGTTAAATAGTTTAGCATTGCTATGAGCACCATATAAAAAGCATGGAGGTCAGTCATTCAATAATAAACGTCTAGAAATATATCATTACTATTCTACAAATAAAAAATGTTTACACTCTATACAATTTTATATACAGGCATCAATTATGTTATACAAATAACAAGAAAAGCAAGTAAATTGCATGCAAACAAGTCATATAATCACCTCTACTTCCAGGGCCTGAATCTGTTATAATGTCAAAAATTAACATCAGTGACTAGTATAGTGCTTAACAAAATTAAAAATTTCAATTTGTTTATTGTTTTTTTTTTGTAGTTTTTTTTTCAGTTGAGTTTTAGGTCACACCCAGTTGTTTAGGTCATATTTGAACAACTATCAATCCTAACTCCTGGAGAAAGACTGCAGGCGCCCCTCTGTGCATTATTTCAGGTAAAGGTTGACACGAAAGCAGAACCACTGACCTGTTACCTAGCTGGACTAAGGTCCTTCAAATGTAAGAATCCTAATTCTCTTTAAGGATTCAAACCCACAATGGTAGGAAGCAAGTGATACTAAGTCAGTGACCTACATTCTTCAGCCACAGAGGCCCTCTCCCACCCTTCATTATAAACAATGGCAAGTTTGAACATCCTAGTGTTCAATTCTTTTAAACACATAAAAATAGAATAACATCATTATAATTTTACAAGAGAGACTTACACTATCATAGAGATAACCGTCACTTATGTATCATTAACTCATCATTAAAAATATTGCTATTGTTTGTCATGATGACTTTCATTGAAAAATTCTGACATTTTATTATCATCTATATATGCACTGCTGTCACAAATATTTAAATTAATCTTTATTTCAACAATGGAAAGCTTATTTGTTTGATCATAAATCTGAAGACCATTGACAGGTTATATGGTCATTTATTATATACTTATAAATGAAATATTGAGAAATATTGATGAAATAAAATGTGTATTTTCATTTTCCGTATTTTCACTGTAAAAATTTATTTTTCACTGCAGTGAAACATATTTTCCGTATTTTCACTGGTGTCTTGCCGGACTACTTTCTTTTAAATTCTGCCAGTACACAAAATTTAAGGGAAAGTCTTTCAAATTTTAATGTCAAAAAAGATACATATAATAAACAGAAAATTCAAGTTTTATATATAAATACATGATTTATTTTCATCTTGTGGCATGAAAATTACCATATTTCACTCGTGGCTACCGCCACTCATGAAATATTTATTTTCATACCACTCGATGAAAATAAATCATGTATTTATAGAAAAAACTTGAATATCCTCTATGTATATATAAAAAAAAATGTTTGCTTCACAGCACTTGCCTATTGTTAAAAGTGGGTTATAACTAATTATATATAGTGGACTCTGACCATAAAACTCATTCTCGACAATAATATTATGCTTTCTTTATGAGAAGCAAAGAATATTGTCTTTCCTTATAGGTAAATAATACCTAGGCTTACCTGCTGAAGATGGTGCTAGTTTTGCCCAATATGGCCGCTGTGGTCTCAGCATATTTGGATGCCAAAATGGGGCTTCTATATGTTCCCCTGTAATAATAATAATAATAATGATAATAATAATAATAAAATATTGAACTTTTGATGAATAATAAACATTGAATGTTAGATAACAATTTACTGCCTTAAATTGCATTTTCAGTTCATTTAAGTTTGGGTTTTATGTGAAAAGAAAATGATGCTTAACAGATTTACATGTGTAACACAACGTTGACCTCCTTGTTGTTATTTTAGGCACATATAAGAATTTTGGCAGCATCCTTCATTTGCATCAGTTTTAAAGTGGATTGATCAGTACAATGGGCATATGTTTTCCATAAGTATTTTAAATATTGATTAAAACAATAGAAAAGTTACCATTTTGATATTCTTATAAAATATAACTTGATAAAATGTTGATAAAAGATTAAGTATGAATATTAATATTTATGTGATGATGAATAATAACATTTTGTCCTGGAACATTTTATTATCTGCTATATAAATATGTCATATCTGATTACTATCTCACACTTGCCAAAAACATCCATATATATATATATATATATATAATTCTTTCAAGGTTTGTTGTTATGTCTGATACTAAATACTTTTAAGATAATGATTTATTGTATTACAGACCTTCCATAACATTTAGACCAATTCTCTTTAAGCTTTATGAAATTTCTTTCAGTCAAAATTCACTACATTGTATTCGTTGCACCATTTTTATTTTTAATTGATATCGCCAAATGATTCTGCACAGGCCCTTAGGATGCCATGAATCTTTATATTAAAATTGTGTAGTTAAAGAAATATGAAAAGATTATAATAATAAATCAATACCTTTAAAAACAAATGATGTAAATTGTTAAAAACGTCGTATGTAAGTTTTGCTTCAGACATTAAATAAATTACGTAAATATGAATTGGGCAAACAGTCGTAAACGTCCTTACCATAGATTTGTGAAACAAGGGCCCTCTGTTTCATGGCAATAAGCTCTGGATCCCACATTCTTAGTTGGCGTTTGTTTGGATGTAAGGATTGTAATAATTTACGTCTGAAATAAAAAATTTAAATTCATATCAAGAGTCTTCAAAGATCTAAATAGAAAATAGTGGACATGTTAAGCAAAAATATGGCCCAAAGCTTCTTAAGTCAGATATAAAGAATGTTCATTCCCTAAAACTAGTATTCAGGAAAAATTGTCCAAGTGTACGAAATTTTTTCAGAGTCCAAACTAAGTTCACAAAACTCTCAATTTACCTATCTAAGTGTTTCCTATCTCCATCATTTTCTAATCTTTTACTTCCTTGATCTTCTTTACGTTCATTATGATCTTTTTCATTATCTCTTATATCCACCTTACTCCCTGCTTTATCACTATTCTCCATTTTTCAACCACTTCTCTTTATTATTATTTTATATTTATTCAAAACCCTTCCTCAAACAATTCATGCAATAATTTTAATCATGGAAATGTTAAATAAAACTAGGCTGTTTTTTATAAACCATTCTCTTGTACGATTAATGCAATGATCATTATAATGTTGTGTGAATGAATGAAGGATTTGAATAAAATCAATTTTTCCTCTATTGTAATGTAAATGGTATATCCATATTTTTCATTTCATAATCATTTTGTTAATAGAAGAGTATTGATATCTTTGTTAAAGGTACTTATCCAAAGCTGGTAGTCGATTCAATATTTTCAAATCAGAAACTTGATACAGAGCAAACAAACCAAAAATTTTTTGGAACTGTCAATTATTAATTTAGGGAATGATTATGATTAAAAGAATTTATTTCTGGAACTGTCCACTATAAATTTAGGGAAAGATTAAGATGAAAATTGTGAAATCACTCAGGCAACATTTTAGAGCTTGAAAATTTGGTAGTCTGACCAGTCTCTATAATATGTCGGTTCACCAACTTCGCATTTTCATCTTGACATTCCCTTTATTAATAATGAACTGTTCCAAAAAATGAAGGCTGGACAAGTCCATTTAAGAAATTCAGCAGGTTATAGTTTGATAAAGAAAAGAGTAAAATGATGAAGACAAAATGCTTCAACAGGTGAAAGTATGTTATGAAAATTTCAAAACTTTCACAATATTAGTTTCAGTTAAGCTTTATAAAACAAAACTCTCAAATATCTATTTTACATATAAACATAATGTCTAATGCATTTTTTTTTTCTTAAACTCTCGCATATCTATTTTATATAATTATATATATGTAAACATCATGTCTAATGTATTTCTTTTTCTTAACCATTATATTTCCCTATAAATTGCTTTAAAAGATACCAGACAACTCTTACATTCATTATAGACATACTGGTTATAGAAAGCTATAAACTTGAATGATTCAAGGCCATATTGCTGTAACTCAATATACTTAAAAGGACAAGAAAAAACAGTGTGGCAATAATGCTTTGATACTATAATATTAAAATGAAATGACATCTGATCATATCATATTTCATTTTTCAATATAACTGTAGCTCTTAATCTTGTCCTTGGCGATTTAAATCATTTAGTTTTTATTATCTTAGTTTTTAAAGTCAGTTTTAACAGTACAAGTTTAAATATTTATTCATCTATTAAAAGTTCAGTGTTGAAGAAAAGCTAATAGTTTAAAGCCCTTTTGAGACCCTGCAACTAACCTGCGTTGTAAGTGTATTATCAATACACATGATTTCTAATTTCTGTTGTGCTCAAGCCCATAATTCAATGGTTTAGTATATACAAATTTATTTAGTTTGATTGTGTTGGAAGATATAAGCTTATTGAAACACTATGAATCTGTTCCATGAACCAACAAGTACAAAGCAATGAACGTAAAGTTTCTTGCTCAAGGAAACAACAGCTTGCCCCTGACAGGGTTTGAACACCCATGTGATCAGCAATCCTTAAATTACTAGTAAGCCATGTTCAATGGTTGGGTTGCAGCTAGGCAACCACACTCCACCTGGCTGCTGGCAGTATATATTTTTACCACACTTAATATCTTAAATTGGACTTGTCTATCTTTCAATCTGGATCAAACCATTCTTCACTTTAAGGGATTTTTTTTTAAATAAATGTATAGACTGAATAGCCAACAGTGTAGACTGTGATGAAATGGTAAAGTACATTAATAGAATGGAATGAATTAATAAATTTCTAACCAAAAATATTTATGCCATGAAAGCTGTATGGTAAGGGAGTGTATTTTGTATTGTAACTGATATAATTATTTACACCATGCCAGTTGTATGGTGAAGGCATTATAATCAGGGATTTTATTTTTGTTAACTTTCTGAAGGAGAAAATACATGTATAGCACAATAAATCAGAAAAGGGTGTAAACCTGACAATGAATTCAAACAACTGAGAATGGAATTTCCCCACAAATTTTATGAAAAAAGTTTCAGTTTCAATTCCATTTAACATGCATGATGCATAGCAAAGGTTACCAATAGGGACAGCTGTCTGTCTTTCAGTTAATAAGATTTATCAACTAGCTGATATAAGTCAGCTGCTGTTAAGATATGGTTCTGGTAAAGAATGTGCACAGGGCATTTTAGGGGAAAATGTTAGCATTTACAGAGGAAAGTATACCTTTTTTGGGCAAGGGGAAACAGCCTTTATTTGGCTGTAAATATAGCAAAATAAATCACAGAATAATCAAACTTTGTACCTGATATATTTACGCCATGCCAGCTGTATGGTAAGGGCAGCTATCTGTTTATGGAACTCCTCCGCACCTTGTCTCAGTCTCATTTTATGTACTGCTTGTTTTGCTGTCAGTAAAATTGCAAATGACCGCATTTTGTGACTGAAACAAATAAACATAAACTGATTAACAAATCATATTAAATTAACATTTACTAATTACTGACAAGTCTTTGGCATTTTTTGTAACACTGAAGGTTAACCATAGATATTGTAAATTAATCTTAATTTCTGAAAAAAATATACATTTCCCCTCCTAAAATGACATAAAACTTATTCTATGGTGAAAACATCCAATACCAATAGACATAACTCTTATTTGTAAGCAAGTGATGGAGTCCATTACAAAGCTTAAATGCTTTTCTTTATTTTTTTATTTTTTTTTTTTTTTTTAAGGTGATAAGATTCACTGCAAAGTGACATTTTCTTAAGCACTGTCATTAGTTTTGGCATCTAATAGTGTTCATGCAAGCCTGACTCTAAGCTGGCGGCATGAAAAAGTCATGATTGCATCTTAGAGTTTGCTTCTGGCATCTAATTATTCAAATGGATTATTAAATTTCCTTAGATATAGATACTACAAGGATATAAAGCTTATCTGATTTTTATAATCAGAAAATAACAGGCTATCTAAATGAATGGAGGATTATAAAAATATATTTTCTTTAGAACTGTCATTGGTTTTGGTATCTAATAGCGTTCATGCAAGCCTAGCTCTTAATGCTGGTGGCATGAAAAAGTCATACTTGCATCATAGAGTTTGCATCTGGCATCTAATTAAAATTTCTTAGATCATTACTTAATGGATATAAAACTTATATGATTATTATCAGAAAATAACAGGCTATCTAAATGAACAGAGGATTATAAAAATATGGGGCAAAGCATAGAGATAATCTCTGTATCAACACGATCATGTATCATGTTGAAGTATCTTTTAAACCTTTAAGTTCGGTACTTTATATTCCATGTTTTTACAGGACACAAAACAGTCAAAATCAATAAGTGATTTCAAAAATTATCATAACATGCTTAAAATTTTTTAATGTATAAAGGGAAGACCAAATTATTGAACTTTTATATGTTTGTAACAAACCTCAGGAAGGCAAACCTTGAAAAACAAAACAAATACTGTTTTCACAACAGCAAGAGTAAATGAATTTATCACTAACTCTACAACCTGGATTTGAATTTCAATCATTCCATTTATCATCATACTGCTATGTTTATATATAATGCAAATAACATCACATTAATTAGTTTTTAGTAAATGGCTTTTTAACACTCCTGCACCGCAGTTTATAGGATATAATTATTTTCTAAAGCCTTAAAGTTGCTCAGCCCTACAGTCAACCCCTTGACTGTGTATGCCACTAAATCTCAACAAATGTTCGTTAAGAAAGAAAACAGTCGGATATTTTTTAAACATCAAAGTAAATGTAATATTACATCTGCCATATTTCTTCAATAAAACACTTGGCCATAATGGCCCTGAAATCTCTCAAATGTATATAGGCTCCTGGGCCAAGCTGCCAATTTTAAACCAGGGGCTTTTATTTGAACAAACTTCAAAGACCAGCATTAGAAGATGTTTCATGATAACTATAATAAGCTCTAGCTCTTTGGTGTTTTTAAAGGAAGATTTTTTAAGTTTTTACTATATACATAAGGGAAAAACAATGTCCCCCTTGGGTGGGGCCAATTTTTACCCCAGGGCTTATATTTGGACAAACTTGGTAGACACCAACTAGAAGATGTTCCATGCTTAATATCTAAGCATTAGCTATTTGGGTTTTTTTGAAAGAAGATTTTTTAGTTTTTACTATATACAAATATGGAAAAGCAATGACCCCTGGGGCGGGGCCAATTTTGACCCCATGGCATTTATTTGAACAAACTTGGTACACTGGCTAGATGATGTTTCATGCCAAATATTAGAGCTCTAGCTCCTTCACTTTCTAAAAGAAGATATTTTAAGTTTTTTCTTTTGGTAGCCATGGCAACCAGAGTTCTGCTTTGAATTAAATTCTTTGAACAATTTTCAAAGGTGACCACCAAAGGAACATTCTTGTGAAGTTTGGATGAAATTGTCTCAGTGGTTTATGAAGAGATGTCGTTTAAAGTAAAAGTTAACGGACGGATGATGGACGGAAGCCGAACAAAAATCCGCCTAACAAAAATATCACAAAAGCTGACCATGTCACTTTGTGGCAGGTGAGCTAAAAATAAATCAGTGAACACTGTGCAGACCATGATCAGACAACACAGACATGCCTGTTCAATCTTGATCACCTGGGTCCTTGGTATGTTCAGTGGCCGTCAGCTTTGGTTTAAGATTCAAACATTACTTTACTTACTTCCTCCATGCTTTTTGTATCCGTTGTGCAGCATACTGCTTGCGTCTAAAATCATGTAATCTATTGGTTTCTGTTTTTTTAACATTTTTGGCTACTTTTTGTTTCTGTAAGGCATGCTCCTCCTCTTCTTTTGTCTCTCGTCTAGCTCTGTAATAAATGAACCATAAAAAACCATGACATTAATGATCTAAATATAATCCATGACATTGTGTATAAAATTATGAAAGAAATAAATCATTTTTTAAAAAAAAACATGACATTAATGATCTCAATATTATCCATGACATTAATGATCTCAATATAATCCATTGCATTATGTTTCTGAAATAAATCAACCATAATAAAAACCATGACAATTTAAAGATCTGAAATAAATCTAAATCATAAAATCTGTGACAATTCAAAAGTTCTGAAAATAATGTAATCATGACATTTGGTCCTGAAATAAAAACAATAATATATTACAGTTTTCAAATAATGAACCATGAAATTATGTATGTAATATAAATAAACCATTGAATAATGGCATAAAAAGTCTTAAATTTTAACTACCATAATGGTTCTGAAATATAATATAATATAGGCCATGGCATATTTAGTCTTAAATTTAAACTACCATAATAGTTCTGAAATATAATATACATATAGACCATGGCATATTTAATCTTAAATTTCATTTTTATACCATTATGGTCAACTAACCATGGCATATCAGCATTAAATTTATTCCATATAAACTATAACATTTAATAACCACTATAATATGAATGACATAACAATCATTATGATTATTATTATGCAATATAATGTGACAAATTAAAAACTGTCATACTTTAAAGCTTTGACAGTAAAATTGCTAAGCATTTTGTTCAATGAAAAATAAAAACAAATATTTTGTTTATTTTATTAAGCTCTGAAATATAACCTTATTTAATAAAACAAATAAAATAAAAGACGTTCAGCTCTAAATAAAACATGTAATGATAAATATAGAATAAGGAATCATTTATTAATGTGAGAAAATTGTGAAAAAAATCAACCTTTTTTAAAATAATAAAATATTGAAAAACTATGCAGTTTAGTTAAATATACCAGTGGAAATAATAGAAGCTAGTGTAGTTCGGAATATGAAACTTAAAGAGACTCCACTGAGGTTTTAGACATGGCGGGACTGGAAATAATTTTTCGAGATTATTGTTTAATTTGATGTACTGGTCTATACAAAGAGCTTGTGTGCAAAATTTTAGATCATTCCCTCACTCCGTTTATTCATAATAATTTTTCTTATTGTTAAAATGACCCAAAATTGAAAAGCAATGCAATTCTTGTCAATCAAATCTAAGTTAAGAATATAATTTTCTATTTGTTTCTCAATATATTTCTTAAAGCTGCACGCCTCCAGATGAGCCAAAATTTTTCAAGGAAATCATTATTGAGAAAACTGTACTTTATACTTTAAGAAAGGTAAAACTTTCAAGATCCAAGTTAAATTGTACACATTATGTGCGGTTAACACTGATTTTGCAGTATTTTATCACGATATTTCTACTGCTTTACTAATTAATGCAGTAAGGGCTGTTTTTGCATATTTTGACCACTTTTTGGTAATTTTCTTGGATTGTATTAATTTTGTGTCGATTGCAGTATGTAAGTTACTTTTTTTGATTACCTCAAAATATTTTACTTTTATATACATTTCTGAAATTTTCATGAAAATTGACATGAATCCGGAGGCGTGCTGCTATTAGTACCCTTTGCATATATTTTTGTTCTCTGAGTGCCACATTTGATCTAATTAAGATTTAAAAATTTCTAGTTTTTTGGCTTTTGGATCTTAGTCGAGTTCCTTTAAATTTAAATACAAATTTCAAGACTTAAATCATTTGGCTATATTTTTTATCAAGAAGTATCATCCACCTAGTAGTGTCCAAATATTTACATGATTACTCAGGCCATAAAAGTTCCTATTTAAGCAAATTGAGCTCAAAAGTTCCTATTTAAGCAAGTCTTGAGCTCAAAAATTCCTATTTAAGCAAATTGAGCTCAAAAATTCCTATCTAAGCAAATTGAGCTCAAAAGTTCCATTTTAGCAAATTTAACTCAAAAGTTCCCATTTAAGCAAATTGAAGTCGCAAGTTCCTATTTAAGCAAACCCTTACGGAATTCACTTACAAGTCACTTATAGGCTATTTTATATGTAGATTATACTTCACTTAGTCAATTTACCTATAAGTCAAGTATATGTATTTTAAATGCAAATTAGATGTAAGTGCAGTATATGTCTGGCATTTTGACATATAAGTGAAGTATAAGTTATATATAAGTCACAAATATGTGACATGTAAGTCAAAGATATGATCAACTTATAAGTAACATATAAGTGACTTATATGTTACATATAAGTGACTTATATGTTGCATATAAGTGACTTATATGTTACATATAAGTGACTTATATGTTACATATAAGTGACTTAATATAAGTCACTTATAAGTAACATATAAGTCACATGTAAGTCACATATATGTTGCTTGATGTCAAAAAAGCTAGAATGAAAATAAACGTTTAGTAATTTAATTTCAAAAATGTTTATCAATTTATATTCTTAGTCATATAAATGAGCAAAATACAAAATTCAGCATACATAACCTTCAGTTCAATCATCTTACATTCACTATAACAAAAACAATATTTATTTCTAGCAGCAAGTTTTTGTAGGTACTCGTTTTCTTGGAATCAAACACTTTGTTTTTTACAATTATTTTGCTGGAAGTCTGTCAGTGAGGAATTGAACTCAAAAGTTCCTATTTAAGCAAATTGAAGTCGCAAGTTCCTGTTTAAGCAAAATTGAGCTCAAAAGTTCCTATTTAAGCAAATTGAGCTCAAAAATTCCCATTTGAGCAAATTGAGCTTAAAAGTTCCCATTTAAGCAAATTGAACTCAAAAAATCCTATTTAAGCAAAATTGAGCTCAAAAATTCCTATTTAAGCACATTGAGCTCAAAAGTTCCTATTTAAGCATATATTGAACTCAAAAAAATCCTATTTAAGCAAAATTGAGCTCAAAAGTTCCTATTTAAGCACATTGAGCATGATCAAAGTAAAACAAAAGCTATATACCCGCTTCTGCTTCTGTAAGAAGCTGCCGATTTCTTGACCGGAGGTTTAAAAGTTCCTGGTTTACATCCCACATTATTTCCCAATTGTCCCCTATGTCTCGCTGAATGATATGGGAAATTTGGTGGCATTGTTATTTTTTTTCGTTTTTTTTCTCAAATCATTCAATATGATAAACTGATCTAAGACATATTTCTTTATATCAGAATGCTTGTCATTTGTCTTTTTTTCTTCACATGAGTTTTTTTCAGTATCGGGACTTGTTCAACAGACACTTTCTTGAACTTTTAAATGTAAGTATTTGTCAACCCGAAATATTCAATATTTATATTTGTTGTCCATATATTATATTACTTACAACTTCAGTATGTATCTATTTCCCATTTATATTTATTCATGAATTTTTTTTCCCAACAATTCTTTTAAGTAAGATTATAGGGTCTGCTTACTGTTTAAATTACAGTTTACTCCAATGATTTTCTTTAAAATTGATTCTTGTTCATTTCCTATTTATCTTTCATTCTCATTTTTCATTATCCCAATTTGTTTTCAAATCACTTCCCTTCGTTATTTCACTTTTACTTTAAAACACCTTAACTCATTCAGTAATTTTTCTGAAAATGTTTTACTTCCATCAATTTTTCTGTAATTTTTTAATATCCTGCAATTTTGCCAAAAATTTTCACTTGTAAATCCAAGAAAACTTATATACATTAATAATCCAAGATCTGATTTTACTAAGGAAGGAGTGAAAAATAAGATTACGCAACCAAAGTGCGTTATTTTCATACGGTAACCAATCACATCCTGAAATTCTATTTAAATTTGGTTTAAAATTACGACGTTACCAATATCCTCAAACGATAAATAAAGAATATTCTGTTATCAGTGCCGAAATTGAAGGTTAATCTATCTTAAGTCAAAACATGTCAATAAAAATTTGATCAGCGGGCTCTATTAGACATTTAAGTATAGGTGTGAAAACCCTAACTTCTCATTAGCGGAAATCTGATAGGCAAACACTGATACAAAAGAATTTATATCTGGCGGGTTAGAATCTAAATTTTGTATGTGCACAAATCAAAAGAAAAAAATTACTCTTTTTATTGCCCCATTATTCGTTTTTTCTGTACTTTTTCGTCTGAATAAACAGAGTTAATTGAAGTATAGCAGTTATACCAGACAGTTTAATACCATGTAACGATCCTTCAACACGCTTAATTTCTTTTCCAACCTCAATACAAATTACCTCTAAATGGTTAGTAAATAGCACTTAAAAATTCAAATTCTTACTGCTATTGACAAAATATTATTCCCTTTTATTAACTTCTTTAAAAGCGTGAAAATATTAGGTTTATTAAATTTTAAATTTGTGTGTATGACTTTCTCATTAAATTTAAATCACTTTTTACCTTGATGTTTTCTTATTTTTGTTTGTATGTTTTGTTCTTTGTTTTTTTGTTCTTGTTTTTTTTTCTGTTGAATTTCTCATTAAAAATTGTAACCTTTATCCTAATTCTATCTAAGCTAAATTTAAGGTTTTCTGACAATTAATTATTATGACGAGCATTGCTGAAATTATTATGTACAATTTAATAACAAAAAACAACCCACAAGAAATGCCATAATTCTGTGAAAATCCATGTTATGGACCTTTAAGAAGGTGACCTCCAATATTAGTGTGAGTGTTTTCAACACATTCCCTTCAGAAGTTTTGTAGATACCAACTTGCATTATACCGACACAGGATGAGTACAATGGCTGACTTAATTTCTAACCTTCATACATGAATTGAGTGTTTTTTACAAAATATATTTGTGTGAAACATAATAGTGGCTGTTAAACAAAATCTTTTGACAGTTACAGACTGAACCAACTTAAGGATGTTTATAATACCTCCTTTTATGACCAAGCAAAATTATATGTGCATAACTGACAGGGATTCCAAGAAGGCAGAAGTAAAATATTTATATAACCATGTGATTGGTCAGTTGTTTAGAATTCCAACGGGAGTTAAAGAGTCTTTATACA